CTCAATTTGCACTATTTCTGGCAGTCTGCAACCCCCCTTAGTGACTTATGGCCTGTACAGACTGGCCACAAGAGCTGGCCTGGGGGTGGAGTTGGGGTGGGGCGACTGGATGCTGGCTGCTCCAATGCTGCCATCATGCCACATGCCCCACTGCATGGCATGCAGTGTCAGGGCGCTCCCTTGATGCAGCATGTAGACACACACTGTGCCAAAGGGGTGAAGAAGAGCCATGGTGGCGGTGGCAAGGGCGGTTCTTTGCCACTCCAAAACGGAGCAGCATTTGCCAGCTCTTTTTTGAATGGTAAAGAGCTGGATTGGGGCTGAGGTGTGTGGTTGCCACAGCCCCAATCTGGCACTCCCAGGGGCTGTCTGTATGGCCTGTTAGTGACTTTATCTTTGCTAGATGTACTGGAACAAAAGTATGTTTATCTTTTTACATTACAATGAGTATTCAGAAGAGCATGGCTCTTGTTTAATACGCATAAACACAGAGCACTAGCCTGCTGTGCTCTGTTAGTGTAAATGCCAAACAGTCTTAGGAAGGGAATCTTTATACCAAAGATAAATGCTTCTAATGGAGATTTCTTGGCCACCAAGTTCACAAAGTGCTCTTCGTTATGTCTTAATTCTAACACTTTCATCTTTAGACTTTGGATCATATATTAACCAATTTGAGTTGCTTGAAAATCCAGCTTGGCTTTTGGAGTTCAAAGAGTGACAAAAAGAAGCCAAGCCTTCACAAGAGTCATGCCTCCTCTGCCATAAGGGCCCTCAGCTTTCTCCACCTGTTACTGTAAGCGGTGTGGTTAATGAAGCAAAGAAAGTGTTGCCAGATGCATTTTTACAGATCACTGCTGTTTGGATTTCAGCTGTTTTCCTTCCCCTCCCTTCCCTGGGCTTTTCCTAATGCACCCGGGAAATTCAGAATGGCAAACATTTGCTTGAATCGCTGAGAAACTCTAAGATAAAAGTGTTAGCAAATGTGCATAATCGGCACATTTTGTCTCCATTCGGTAGGCCTGTGGGATAATCAGATTAACCGTAACAATAAACAAGTCTTCTGTGTGCTGACTTGGTCAGATGCTAAATTACATTTGTAACAGTTTAACTATAACCCAGAGACAATGTAAATGTTATATTTTTGGATTATAACTCCCCACATTTTAACTAGACTGTAGCTTCAGAATTCTGGGAGCTATTGTAGAAAAAGAAAAAGGTAACATTTTTAAGGTTGGACTAGGAAAGTATTAGTTACAAAGAAGACCTCAAATGAAAGTTTTTTTCAAAGTTGGGTGGTTTTTCAACATTGCTAATATGTCACTATATAGTTACTGTTATGAGGCTTCAAGTTGACTCTGGTTTAGAGCATTCGTATGATAGAGTTTTCATGTTAAGAATTATTCTGAGGAGTTTTGCCATTGCCTTCTTCTAAGAGTCAGAGTATAACTTGCCCAAAGTCATCCAGTAGGTTGCCATGGCTGAGTGGGGATTTGAACCCTGATCTCCCAGAGTCCTAGTCCAATACTCAAAACACTATGCCACACAGGCTGTCTCTTTAGTATATTATATAAAGCCTTTTCTAGAAACAAGGGCTGGGATGCTGGGTGTTACTTACAATGGTGTAAGTTAGACTATGTTGGTGTGTGCCTTCCAAGTCATTTCTGGTTTAAGACAACCCTATCATGGGGTTTGTTGGCAAGATTTGTTCAGAGGAGATTTGCCATTGCCTTTGCCATTGCTGAGAGAATGTGACTTGTCCAAGGTCATCCAGTGGGTTTCATGGCCAAGACCATGGTCTCTAGAGTCATAATCTAACACTCAAACCACTATGCCGGCTGGCTCTCATAAATTAGACTTAAGATATTATCACTGCTTTGTATACACATTTGTGATCATGGCAGTATTTCCATGACCACCTTAAAAGCTAGTCAGCTTAAAAGCTAGTCAGCCATCTGAAGCAACAGAGGTTTGTGCTACTGCTGAATGGGGCACCACTGGATCACATTACCAGCCCCCAATGAGCATTGCTGTGAGTAGCAAAAGTAGGGACTTGTATGGGGACCTGAAGAAACTCTCCATCACAGCATTGCTTGCTAGTAGGAAGGAGCTGATAACATCATCCTGTAGTACTCCACTCTCCAGCAGCACAGACTTCAATCTCTCAGGGCAACTGATTGGCTCTCAGGGTGGGTTTCAGGGGTAGGATGGAGAGTTAAACCATAGCCATGATACGGTGGCTATGTTTATGTTGCAGGATCTTGGCCAAGAAGATTATCAAAAGGTAATAGCCATGCTGGATCAGAGTGAAGGCCAGTATTCTTCCCATATTGGGCTCATATAGTGTCCAGCCAGTTCCTTACAGAAGCCTGCCAAGAGGACCTGAGTGCAACATATCTTCTTTCTTCCTCCCCAGCAACTGACATACAGAGGCATAGTGTTTCTGAAAAACTGTTTTTTTTTCTGAATTAAGGATACTATTAATAAATTCATATTTCATGTACAGGGTTAAAAAAAACTAAGCAGCATTAGGACACTTAACACAGCTGCAAAAAGGTAAGTTACTAATCTGCCCATTTTAAAAATGAAAAACTGAGCCTAAGAAATAATGATTCACTCAAAGTCACAAGTACGTAATGAGAAGAATACTGTTTTCTCCTAGAGCAAGGATGGGGAACCTAAGATCCTTGGGTCAAATCTGGCCCTCTGAAGTTATAAAGATGATTGTATTCTCTTGCTCATGAATACCATCATTGGGTAGCTTCCCCCACATTTGTATTTTGCCCATTCTAAAAGTCTAAAGTGCCTCTTATAAGGTTTAGCTACAGAAGTAAGAGCTTTAAGTTAAAGTATGCTTGAAATTTTAGTCCCACCTTTTTTGCTTTTGGTGTTGTCTAACACTGGAACTCAGCCACTAACAACTTCTCTGAAATAGAATTTGGCCCTTGGGCTAAAAGACATGCCCAGCCCTTGTTCCAGGTTGAGTTCTTTGTTTACTAAGATGTAATACCCAGCCTATCCCACTGGTTTCAACTAAATACTAGACTAGATTTGGGGCATTTTGTACATTAGAATCATAGAACTGGAAGGTATCATAAGGTCCATCTAGTCCAACTCTCTGCTATGTAAGAACACACAACTAAAGCATTCTTGCAAGATGGCTATCCCATCTGACTTTAAAGATATCCAAAGAAGGAGAGCCTAACACCGGGCCTTTTCAGACTGCCAGAAATAGTGCAAATTGAGTCCACTTTAAGGGTTAGGGTTAGTGCTAGGGAATCATGGGAATTGTTTTTCCCCCCCTGAAACATTGAGCTTTCTCTCTCAGAGAGCTCTGGTGCAACAATAAAATACAGTTCCCATGATTCCCTAACCCTAGCCCTAACCCTTAAAGTGGACTCAGTTTGCACTATTTCTGGCAGTATGCAAAGGCCCACCTCCAATTCCACTGTTCCTACCATTAGAAAGTTCTTTGTAATGTTTAGGTACAGTTTCTTCTTTTGCAGTTTGAATTCACTGCTTCATGTTCTATCTCTGGAGCAGCAGAAAACAAGCTTCTTTCCTCTTCTATCAGATATTCCTTCAGATGCTTACAAATAGCTAGCAGTTCACCTCTCAGTCTTCTCTTCTCCAGGTTAAACATACTCAACCCCCTCCCAGGATTGGTTTCCAGACCTACTACCATCATAGACACCCTCCTCATTCCAGTTTGTCAGTATCCTTCTTCAACAACAGTGTCCAGAAGTGGACACATGCTTCCAGGTGAGGTCTGACCAAAGTAGAATAGAGTAGTATTCTGCTTTGGTCAAACTTCATCTAAATTCCTGACATTTTCCTGCAGCAACAAACTTGGGTTGCATGTATGCACAACAAAGAGATGCAGTTAAATTCCAGTCCTCTAGTGAGTGTAAATGTATGATAATATGTGTTTTTAAAAATCTATTTGTCATGTTTACATATGCTATTTTCAAATGTAAGCTGGAAACTGTAATGTCTAGGAATGCTACAGGAGGCTTACTTCAAGCTGTGGGAAAACGTGAGTCCTGTGTTACAATCTCATAACTGTTGCTTTCCTCCCACTCCCACTTCCTTCAGCCTCCTACAGTATTAAATGAAATTAAAATTAATTGATGTCTTACATCTTTGTCCCACCCATTTCTAAATGTTCTGGGCAAGTTACAACAATCTGAACATTATTTTTTGAAAAAAGTAGGCTGGTAATGTGAGAAGACTCAGCATCACAGAGTTAATGCTCTGTATTATCCTGTTGATATTTTCTTTGCATTTTAGGGAATTATCATGGAATTTGTTCTTCCTCATCCTTCCATTTATCCTTAACACTACTGAACAGATCATCAGCTTTTCAGAATTTCCCTGTGTGGTCTTTCTCAGTATGATTCTCTTTCTCTCCTACCACAACTACTTTGAACTTGACTGTAAGCTATACATGAAGTTGTATAGTGTGTGAGAAAGTCCTTCCAAGTTATTGATGTACACAGCTCTTACTGTACAGTATACACAAACCTCTCTTGAAGATTACTGGAATACTTTCTAGGATGCCTATACAGTGACATCTCCTGGATCCAAATATTAGCATATGGGATATCATATGTAAGGGGTGTTTGATAGCCTGCCTCATGGAATGCCCCATCCAATCCAAGAAAGTTTTGAAAAGCCCTCTCCACTCCCGAAGACCTTCTAGTGCATGGAGGAATTCATTGTTATTTCCAGTCACTGACTGGAGAGAACTGGGATTCCCTACTTGGGAACAGAGATGGGGAGGAGGACAGGGAGAGAAGAGGCGACACTGACACCAAGTGACTGCAAATATCGCAACTGTCCTGGCAGTGATCTGAGGACTAGTGTGATTGCAAGCTACTTGATGGGTTTCCCTCATCAATGTTTATCTAACCACACTGTGGAGACACAACAGCTATGAGCTGGAGGCATCATCATGCAATAGGTATCGCCAAAGGCATTTTCCCCACACTTTAATCTCAGTTTAAAAATCGTGTGTAGTAATCTCCATAATCTCAGCCCTGATCTGGACTAAAGGGGGAGATCTGGCCCTACCTCACTCAGTTATTGTTCTTACATTTGCAGTGATGCAATATTCTATTTTTCATTTAAATTGAATAGTTATCTTCTTGATAACCCATTGCTTGCTTTTGTTGTTGTTATGTGTCTTCAAGTCAGCTCCAACCCTCTCCTATGGTTGCTTGCAGGATTATTGCAACCCTCTCCTAGTGTTGTCTTTGCAAGATTTGTTCAGAAGAGGTTTGCCATTGCCCTCCTCTGAGGCTGAAAGAGTGCAACTTGCCCAAGGTCCCTAATGGTTTTCCATGGCTGAACAGAGATTCAAACCTTGTTCTCCTGGAGTTTAAGTCCAACACTCAGACCGATATGCAACACTGTACAAATACATGTGTGTATCCAAACTATATGCTATATGACTTCTCACCAGATACTCTGTCATAGAAGCATAGAATCATAGAGTTGGAAGAAACCACTAGGACCATCCAATCCAACCCCTGCCATGCAGGAACTCAAAGTCAAAGCATCCCCAACAGATGGCGATCCAGCCTCTGTTTAAAAACCTCCAAAGGAGACTCCACCACGCTTGAAGGCAGCATATTCCACTACTGAATAGATCTTACAGTCAGGAAGTTCTTCCTAATGTTCAGGTGGAATCTCTTTTCCTGTAGTTTGCATCCATCACTCCATGTCCTGGTCTCTGGAGCAACAAAAAACAAGCTTGCTTCATTCTCAATATGACATCCTTTCACATATTTAAATAGAGCTGTTATATCACCTCTTAACCTTCACTTCTCCAGGCTAAACATACCCAGCTCCCTAAGTCGCATATAAGACATAGTTTCCAGACCTTTTATCATTCTGGTTGCCCTTCTCTGGTATGCTTTGGCTTGAATTATGGTGCCCATAACTGGATGCGGTATTCCCAAAGTAGAATAGAATGGTACTATTATTGCCCTCAATCTAGACACTATAGTTCTATTGAAGCAGCCTAGAATTGCAATAGCTTTTTTAGCTGCCACATCATACTATTGTCTCATGTTCAATTTGTGACCTACTAGGACTCTTAGATCCCTTTCACAACTACTGTTGTCAAGCCCCCATCCTGTCATTTAATAAATAGCTACTATATGTTGTTGACATCATTAGTACTTTCTTCCCCCTCTTTTTCCCTTTGTTACAGTGACTCAAAACAGTTTACAAGTAAAGTATGCTCATAATCCGTAGTTTCACATATTAAGTTTTGCCCTCACCAGGTAAAAAATGGGCTCCTACGCTGCCAGCCAATAACACTGTCCAACTCAGAAATCAGTCTCTGCTTCGGTGTGAATGTAATTAACATCTGGGCAGCTGGATTGTGCTGTAAATAAACTAGAACTTTTCAAAAAGTGGAGTTAGTTCTCCCCTCTTTAAATCAAATGTGTGAATAAATACTCCCTGAGGTATGCAAATTTTTGGCTATGGCCCTGTAAGTGCATGTCACTATTATCACTATGCAAACACCACTTCTGTTAATC